TATGAGACTCACTTTTTTTCAATTTCATTTAATAAAGACTACCCATCATATATGTCACAATTGGACCTATTGATGGGCCAGGCTGAACCCATTCTTGATTGGGCTTGGATAAAATTTCAGGCCCGTAGGCTTAGGCTGAGGCTCAAAGCACCGGACTTGACTATTTTTCAGGCCAAGCTTAAGCTTTCTCAAATAAGCCAATAATATTAATTATAACAATATTTGGGCTCAGTCTTAAACATTTTTTGTTAATAAAGAAGTAAAACCTGATCCGAACCTAACCCAGCCCGACCCGTGAACAGGTCTAAAAAAAATTCCTCTGCATTTGTTGTGGTAAATGCCAAATCCATTGATGCTTGTGGCTGCCCGATTCTAGTGTCAGTCACCACTTCAAAATCTGGGTAATAGCAAATTGATTCTAAACATGATGTCTTCGACAAGATCACTATTGGGGATGGAATAGGTCGGGATATTCCTCATCACTAATCACTATGGTTCTATTATTTCCTCTTCTTCTAAACCCTTGTATTTAAACGATATTATTCTTGCATCTGACTTAACTTGCTCTTTGTTGCAAAGCTTTCGGCTAATATAATAATAACGTGTTCTTCAAATTTCAGCATTTGAATTCTTTGTGAAAGATCAACACAGCAAGAAGATCTTACTCCAAGGGCCGCGTACAAATTGTGTTTATGAGCTATGTCTCTCCGAGCTTTAGCTAGTTAATAAGCTGCTTCAATCCCTTATGAATGGTACTTTTGTTTGCACTCACGGCTAACCCTTTTGCTTCAATCCCTCACTCCTGATAACCTTTCTTAAATTATTTTTAATTTATTTTATGATTTTTACTATTTTTTGAGATAAAAATTTCAAAGATCTTTTATTTTAGAAATGACAACTTAATGTAAGCAAAAGGAGAAGAAGTGATTTTTTAACAAATTTATTGAAGCTATTAATGTTATTTTTTTCTATTTTTTAAGAAAATTAGTGTAGAGAGAGGTGTTATGTGAGACCCTATGTTATGAGAGAGAGAGAGAAAAAAATTGTGTGGGACTCGATGTCATAATTTGGGGGAAGAGAGAGAAGAGGGGGAGAGAAGAAGAGGGTTGTATGGAACAGGGTTCCAATGTCAAGAGAGAGGGTTTGTGCGGGTTTTTATTTTTTTAAAAAGAAATCATCTTTTTAATTTTTATTGTTAATAAAGACAAAACAAATAAAAGCTATCACACATAAATTTCATGCTGTAAGCGTAGCTCCACCACCGAGAGCCAAATCTGATGCGCGGGTAAATTCTGTGCCGGAGTTCATAATGCCCTACCATTGTCAGTTGTCACTGAAGCCGGTAGCCGGTAGCCGGCCGATGACTGATTGATAGTTGATGCTACTGAAAATGCAAGTGTGCGCGCCACTCCCATCCTTATTGAAAATCAGGGCCTATCATCGAAAGTCGTTACCTCTGCCGAGGCTTGCGTAGGGGTGTCAATTGCATTAGATTTGGTCCAATCCGATTCAGTCCAATGTGAGTCCATTATAAATGGGTCAGGTTTAATTCAATCCAATGAATGTTTTTGATCAATTTGAACCGGTCCAATTCAATGTCTGGACTGTCCAATTTGTTCAAATTCATTTTGATTTAGATTGGTTTTAACTCAAACCCAATCTATTGACACATATATTATTATTTTATATCAATGGACCAGATATTTGCTTAATCTAACCTAATCTAATATAAATTTGTTACGGACAGACCGGGTCCAATCCAATCTAAAAAATATTTTGGACCGAATTGGTCCACACCAATATGTTTTATTTGTCTGTCCAATCTGTCCAAATTGATTTTGGACTAGACGGGGTCCAATCCAAAACCGGTCCATTGACACCCTTAGGCTTGCAGTAGGGCTCCAACAATTACTGAGTTCAATGCTAAGATAGGTTTTGCCACATCACCACACCAAGGAAATCCACTTCATGCAATACCTACGCAAGTGATTCCTTTAGCTAGGGGTGTAAATGGATCTAATTCGAATCCGATCAGGCAATATCTGAATTTGAATCGGATCAGGTAATATCCGAATTCGAATCCAATTAAATATTCGAGTTCAATTGATTAAATATTTTAGATAATTAATAAATACATAAAATATATAAATATATAAATTATTTATATAACTTAATTATTATATATGTAAATTATATAAAATATTTTATATATTATATATAAGAATTAAATAATTGATCAAATTCGGAAATTTATCGAATCGAATATGGTCATATCCAAATTCAAATCCGATTAACCATTCGGTATGAATAAAATATTTAAATTAAATATTTGAATTATCCAAATTCAAATCGATTATATTGAATATCGAATTCAAAATAGAATTTTCAAATACCGTTGACACCCCTACCTTTAGCATCAACTAATGGCTCCTCCCCCAACCCAATAGAATGGAGATCAGACACCGACCGTGTTCAGGTCCGATACTGATGGATTTTACACCATAAATGAAAATTAGGCTCAGTTTGGAAGAAGTATAAATACAAAATTATAGAAAACATAACCTTACATTTTCTATTATTTTGTATGTATTTATATTGTACATATTTGCATTTGCACTCCTTCCAAACTGAGCCTTAGGAGTTAAGAGGCTGCGTGAGGTTTACTAGTGTTGATTAAAGAGGTTGTGGTACCTACAGACTAGGGGTGTTTACGGGTCAGGTTGGGTCGGTTTATTGGGGTTTTCCCAACCGACCCGACCTGGTCGGGTTACCGGAGGTGGAAACCAAAACCGACCCACTGATAGGCCATACCGACCTGGTCGGTTTGAGTCAGGTTGGGTCGGTTTGGGTCGGTTTCGGTTTTGCTCCTGTACAAAAGGACACCTAATTGAATTCTAATTGTAATTGCCTAATGGGTTGCCTATTTGGTGTAAAAAATTATAGAAAGTTAGAAACTAGGATAGATTGCCTATTCTAATTGTAATTGCCCAATGGGCCTTCTAGTTCTAGTAGAAGACTAGTTATAGTTAAGTAGGAAACTACTCAAACTAGGAACTACCAAACTAGTAGAAGACTAGTTTAGTTCGGGTCGGGTTGGTTTCGATTTTCACACAAGAAAACCGAAACCAACCCGATATATCGGTTTATATATTTGCCCAACCCAAAACTGACCGATACTGATGAAAACCCGGCCTATTCGGGTTGGGTCAGTCCAGGTTAGTCGGTTTGGTCGGGTTGGGCATTCTTATGAACTGCCCTACTACAGACTACAGACTACAGTTGCTGTTCTGTGTCCATGGTAGCTCTCACAGCTCTCAACGAAGCCCACACTTATCTTGGCCCAAGCAAGTCAAATGAGATCACATCTCTGTCCCACAATGCCCTACAGTACATCCCTGCCATGTATTGAAAATATCTCCCAATAATGACATCATCGAGACTAATATTATCATCGGGAGATGTTCCTAATACACAGTGGAGATATATTGTGGGGCGTTATGGGGGAGGCTCTTTGTGGGGTGGAGATGTGAACTCAAACAAATTTACCAAGGGCAATCATTGGGGATTTTAATGCTTTATCGTCTGGCACCGACAAAGTGGGAGGAGGGTAGGCGTTTTAATTCGTCTCACCATGCGGGGTTCCTCAACTTTGGGTGAACACGTGGAAGTACTGACATGTCACATACATCTTTTAGACAACGCACTTAATTGTACCATTCAGACATTCAGCCAACGTTGGTAGAGTTCACATCTGTTGTGACTGTGGTCACAGCATTCCCTTGTGATTCTGAAATGATACATAGGTGTGCCAGTGATGGAAATGAAAGCAATTCACTTAAGGCTCAATTGAAAGGAGAATAAATACAAATATGTAGAGTATAAAATTTTACATTTTGTATGTATTTGCATTCTATAAATTTTGAATTAGTTAAGAATAAAATATAAAAATCCTAAGTTTCTAACAATCATATAAAAACCTTTTCTAAGGTTTTACTTTAATAAAAACCACACAATAGTTTTGAAAAAAAATCTGAAATCGATTAGGTCGAGCATGGACTACTTTTCAGTGCAGGGTTATATTGGATTGATGCTCATTTATTAGTGGATCTTTGTCGAGCTAGCCCAATATTTCAGGATCAGGCTCAAAACTTGTCAAGCCTAATAGTTTGAAAACTGGATTTGGATCTTTCTCAAAATTTATGCTCCCAAAAAACATGATATTGGAAGAGTTTTGACAAATCAAATGATACATGTCACCTGATCTATTACCACTTTTTTGAAAACTGTCCATTCATTAAGAGTTTTTTTTTTCCGTCTACTCCAATCAAGATTTGAGACGATTCAATCGGAGAGACATGATATTGGAAAAACTTGTAAACTAATCAACCGATATCATAAAAGTGGTATTTCTTTGATTGATCAGAATTCAAGAGGGTTTGATTGATCAATCATATCTTTGGTATCATATGCACGCTGCTCCAACTTTGGTCCTCACCCCTTAATCCCCTAAAATGTGTAATTTGTAATACCATGAGAAACTTGGTAAATATAATTCCAATCCAAACGCAACCCAATCAATCTGATCTCAAGGTTGGATCAGGGTTGAAGTTTTAATACATCGGGTCGGGTTTGGGATGACGTACGGCACATCCATAGCAACTATCAGTAACAAAAATAAAACAAGGGTTTACGGTTTAGAAAGATATCGATTGAAGATCTTGGAGCATCCCGCATTAAGTTTTCAACTTTTCATTACCCAAGCTAATTAATGCGGTTTTTCATGTTGTTATATTGGTTAATTGGTATTTGGTGATACTCATCACTAATAACCCTCCTTTTCCTAGAATCGATGGTTGAAAGAATCGAATCTGCATCTGCGTCATGGGTCAGGCCGGGCTTTAAACCTATTTAAACACCGTATGTTTAATATGTAATAAATGTTATAATTCAAATAACATAAATTATTTTATATATATATATATAGCATAATATATATTTACAACTGTACTGTCAAACCAGCATTATTGTTATTAAATATATTTACAACAGGAGACTTGTCACGCAAAGGATAGGAGAAAATAATCAAGATGAGTGAAGAAGTCCTAATCTAATTTTGAGATGAATTAGTAACCACTGCGGGTAAAGTGAGTTGTGCTTCAATGATGCAAACGTCGTCCACCAGGAAGTCATTTGATAGGTCGTTGAGATCACTGAGTGGCATGAAGCTTATCCATCCGTGTACATGGCCCCAAGAATTAAATCCATGAATAGCTGCAAAAGAAATGCCAAAAACTATCTCACAAGAAGACAAAGAAAGAAGCAAAGTTGTTTTCAAGTACATTTATAAAACAAACAATCATAAAGCCTTAAATCACCTTTCTTTTCAGAGTGTTTGCCACTGACTTGGTCCCTAACACGTAAGACAAATTCAATTTGCACCGTCTGTTGCTGAAGGGTTTCTTTGTCAGCCATTATCAAGTACAAAGAAAGGCTTCTGTTTTCTTCCGATCCAAAACCATTTGGGAAGACTAATATTTTCCTGAAGTTCACACAAATGCAGTTGTGAGCGGACAAGCACACCAATGGCCCAGCTGAAAAATGAATACTTAATATTATAAGTGGAGTGAGGAATTTGTTTGAAGGGGTCAAAACCTAAAGTGGGTTGGGAGGGCGGGAATTCACATCTGCGTTTTTACCCTAGAAACTTCCCACTTTTACATCTCAGTGTGCATTAGGAACATATCCTCTATTCATCAATGGGAGATGTTTTCAATGTATGATTGGGATGTGCTGTGGGGCTTTTTTGGGCATGCTATATTGGGCACAAATGTGAATTCGAGAGTTGAGGGGGGATAAGTGGACTGCATCCACATCAAAAATCCGATTTGCAGCCCACTCCTAGTCTATTAGTAGCCCCCCGCCCTATAAACCGCATCCTACCCATGAATTTGGCATCAATCCACGGGCAGAATTCAGTCCACTCCTATAAATCTTAGCTCCACCCTAAGGGTGGACTGAACTACAAAAACCCCTTATTCCTTTTCAAAGACAGTTGTTCAAATGATGTCTAGCCACATGACACTATTGTCTCTAATTATTTTTAATTCCTATTTATCTCCTAAATTAGCTACAACTTAAGAGAGAGTTTCTCTTCTAAATTATCTCTAATTGTATTAATCCATTGTCCCATTTTTCATCCCTATCTATCTAAAGAAATATTTGAACTAAAAAATTTAAGAATTATCTAAATACTATAACAAAATTATATAATAAAAGTATAAATTATAATTTTATGGATTATTCAATTTAATAATAAAATTATTTAAACAATAAAAATTTTAAAAGTAAAAATATTATTTAAATATTTCAATAACAAAATATTTAATATTATATCACAACTATAAAATAAATAAAATTTAAATGACAACAAATTTTAAATATTTTATATATTATTTCAATAAATAAATAACTAAATATTATAAATAATGAAATATTTAACATAACAAAGTTTTAAATAGTTATAATAACAAAGTAAAGTAATAAACTTAAAGTTTTTCTTAAAAATTGAAAAATAATTATAATATATTTCACAATATTAGAATTAGATATTTTAAAATTTTAAACAATAAAATTATTTAAATAGCTAAATAATATTGTAGATAACTAAATTTTAAATAGTTGAAATATTGCAAAATTTAATAACCAAATTATATTTTCAATATTTTTAAAAATAGATTAAAGAACGGAATTATTTAATAACTTTAAAAAATTTATCAAAAACAAAAAAAATAATTATAATAGATTTAATAATATTTGATAATAAGAATATAAAATATAAATAATTTAAAAGATTTTAAATGTTATTGAAATAATTAAAATAGATTAAATAATTTAGATGTATTGAAGCTTCCAAATAACAAAAATATGTAATAGCTTTCAAAAATATATTTTATAATAATAAAAGTAGAATAATAATTTAAATTATTAATTTACTAATATTAAAAACATTATTTCACTTATATCAATTTTTAATTCTAGAAAATATTTTTTAGAAAAATTAATATTTATTAATAATAGTTTTTAAATCTTTATCTATATCTATTATATATATATATATATTAAAATTAATATTTATTTTAATTTTAATAATTATTTATTGAATTTTTGCGATAAATATTTTTTCAAAAATTGTGTATCAATCTATTCTCATTTTGTTATTTAATAATAAATTTTCAATAATTATTGGAGTTTAAACTATTGCTATTTAATTTTTTAATTGATTGGATTTATTGCATATTATTATAAATTTATTTTCAGTAATTATCTTTTTTTGTTATAATTTATTGATTAATATTTATTAGAGATTAAGCTATTATTGGAGATTACACTATTTATTGAATAATATAATATGTTTTTGCTATTTATTGTATTTTTCATAATTATTGTGTTTATTGCATATTTATTAGTTATTTATTGTATATTTATTATAAATTTTCAATAATTATTAGCGATTGAACTATTGTTATTTGTAAGAGATTTGACTATTAATTTAGCTGCAATTAATTATTGTTATTTTTGTATTATAAAAAAATATTAATAGTATATAAAATATAAATAATATTAATTATTTAAAATTTAAAACATAAAAAAAAATTGTCTACTCTTATGCATTTATATTGTTTAGCTTTCACTTAACAAGTCCTGTGCATTGCACGGGTCTCTGCTAATATTATATGATGATAGCGTTATTGTCCTGGTTGAATTGCTGATTCACGACACAGGGAAAAATGAGTTAGGTAGGTTTTTAAAGCACTGATGATACTACAAATTTAGAGAAAATCTATGATGCAGAAAGGATATGGTATGGAAAAAGTTTTGAGTAATCAAAACCCACCCATGAATTTTGATAAATAACACCATGTTCCCTATCACATTTATGATTCTGGTTTATTGGTCAGTTGTTTTTCAGATATTATATCTTTTCCATATCATAGTCGAACCCACAAATATAACATGTTAGAAAGAACTATTTAAAAAAACATTTTGAAAGGGCAAAAATTACCATTGATAACCTCCAGCAGTAAAAACTTGAGAGAAATATTTTTTATCAACCAGCCCGGAGAACTTCATGATCTTCCAGGTATGGATATATTTCAAGGGTTCATTGACCGTTGCCAAACATTCCCCAGCTTTTGCTTTTCCTTCTGCACAATTATTCTTCCCACAAATGAAGATCTCAGCCCCAAAGTAGCAAGTGTCCTCAACTAGGTATCCACGAGAAGGGTCTTTGAAAGTATTAAGGGACATAAATTGGGGGAGACCCCATTCTGTCTTCATGGAATGAAAGCGCCTTGTCTTGCCATGGGAATCTAGGCACAGTAATATGTTAACTTGTAAGTAGAGAAACAAATGTAGAAGGGTTTGAGAGGAAGATGAAAGCAGGATGTAACAAGGTTTTAAAAACCTACTCGGAACCAAAACCGCTTTGGTCATCTGTTTCTAGGTCAGCGGTTAATGTTTAGTTCATTTGGATGGTCTGTTCTAACTTTAAAAATAAAATAATAATTAAAATAAAAATGGTAAAAAATCATTGTCCAAGTCAAATGGGTTAATGGTTTAACTGCCCAGGTCAGCAAATTACTGACCAAGTCAAAAGATTTTGGCCAAGGACAGGGTTAAGGTTGAATAGAACTGATTGCCTAGATGGTTTCCAGGTTAAAGGTCACTCTCTTTGCCGGTTGAACTAGTTGGGTTTCAATCAATACATCAGGTTGCAGAGTGGATTGGGGTTAAGGTTTTAATGCATTGGATCAGGCTGTAAATTGGTAAGTAAATTTGACTCAAGACAAGAACCTTGAATGGATATAAAAGATGATGAAACAAGTCAGAGGTGATAATGATGATGATGATGATATTATTCTTTTATAACACATTTAAATGAGCATCATGCATGAGAAGAAATTACCTTGCACCATCAAGAATTTATCTAGAAATTGCTCATAGATAAATAATCTGAGTATCACATAAAGTTCCCAACCAGCAGGCAGAGAATCTGCCTCAGACATTGCCAAATAGAGAGAGAGATGATCTTTCCCATTTCTTTCCACATTTCCTTTTGGATAAATAGTTAGTCTCCTACAATCAAAACAATTCATTTGGGTTTGATCATAATTCAAAAGTTGCAAGGGGAAGAACTTAAATGAATCATTCTTCAGCATTTCATAATCTAGAATGTTTTCATAAAATTGGTTTTAATTTGCAAAAGAATTTGTCATCAGTTGAAATATAGCTTCGATAATCAACTATCGCTTTCTTTTTATTTTTCCTTTCTTGGGAGCCCACTATTATGACCTAAATTTTTTAGATGATCTATTTATTTCATTATTTGGACAATCCAGACTAATTGAAATTTTGCTACATCACCGAAATGATTGAGACAAGTTCATAATCTTAAGAAGCCACTAGATTAGCTTAAGATTTCAGCTAAACTCATCAGGATCAAATAATTGTTTGCCATCGGATTTGTATACTGTCTTTGATATTCTAATAATAGCTTTTCAACCATTGGATGGTGTCTAATTCTGTAAAATGTAAGTTGTTGCAATACTAACAACAATTGTTGTTATCGTTGCTGTTGAGTAATCTAGTGATTCTCATATAGGGTTTGGCAATTTCATACCCAACCCTTTACCATTAAGGCTGCATTTGGCATGGATTTATCTCCTTTTCATTCCTTAAAATGCTCCTATGAATACTGAGTTTTTAATTGTAAAAATGAGATAAGTCTTTAAAATAAGGAATGCCAAATACAGCCTAAGCCATGTTTACTTAAGTTATCAAAAGGAAATTAGTAGTTACTTTAGTAATTTTCACAAAACTCAAATTTATTATAACTTAGGTCATGTTTGGAGGTGCTTAAGTTAAAAATAAGTATTTTTTGAATAAGTGCTTAAAAACAAGTGCTTATTCCAATAAGCACTTACTTGCATTTGGCACTCAACTTTTTCAAGTGCTTATTTTTCTAAATAAGCCCTTATTTTATATTGGGTGTTTGGTAGTCTTTTTCTCTAATAAGCACTTAAATAAGCATTTGTGACTATTTTGTCCTTCATTTTCTTTTAAATTTTTAAAATATATCCTTTGAAAGCACTTTTATGAAAGCACTTTTACAAAAGTACTTTTAAGAAAGCACTTTTATGAAAGCACTTTTAACGAAAGCACTTGTATGAAAGTACTTTTATGAATATAAAGTGCTTTCTTAAAAGTACTTTCATACAAGTGCTTTCACAAAAGTGCTTTCATAAAGGTGCTTTCATTAAGTGCTTTCGTAAAAGTGCTTTCATAAAAATACTTTTGTAGAAGTGCTTTTTTAAAAGTACTTTCATAGAAGTGCTTTCATAAAAGTACTTTCACAAAAGTGCTTTCACAAATGTACTTTCATAAAGTGCTTTTGTAAAGTACTTTCGTAAAATAGCTTTCATAAAGGTTCTTTCTTAAAAGTGCTTTTATAAAAATACTTTCATAAAAGTACTTTTATATAAGTACTTTTATAGAAGTACTTTTATAAAAATGCTTTTGTAAAAGTGTTTTCATAAAAGTGCTTTCATAAAAGTACTTTTATAAAAATACTTTTATAAAATTCAATTAGGGATAATTCTATAAGTGGTATTTTAAAATTCAACTAGGGATAATTTTAAAAGAAAAAATTGAATAAGTGCTTATTGTATATGCACTTTAAAAAAAAAAGCTGGAAATTTAGGCTTAAAAAATAAGTCCTTATTTTTAAAATAAACACTTATTTCGGGCTTATTTTCCAAATACCAATAGGTGCTTATTAGACCAAATAAACACTTATTTTTAAACACTCCCAAACATGGCCTTATGGGGTAATGGGCCGCATAAAGACAGTTTAGATTGATTAATTTTATTTAAATGGATCATTAATAGTCTATAAGGTCAGATGGGTTGGATTGAAGTTCAACCCAAATCCACCCAATTGCAACCCCTAATCTTATATATATGCTATCATCCTCTTCCATTAACTACCCTTAATTAAATAATTTTTATTTGAATTTGGTGTAATAATTCTTTAAATCGGGATCCATGTAATGGTTTGGTTCTGATTCCTCATCTTGACATGTGAATTTTAAGCCAGCACAGCCCACATCCCAGGTCGCACCATGAATGAGAGACAATAATGCTCCCCACAGCACAAGCCCAAATAATGTATCCCCACCATCCATTCATTGTCATGGGCCCAATGCATGGTTGGGGTCCTTGGGGAATATGCCGTGGGGCATACAGCCTGTGGGGGGAGTCAATTCAAACTCCATTGATTGATAATATATTATGGCTCCGATTGTTTCGCAGGAATAAGGATCCGGAATCGGAATTGGAATGGGCTATTCTGATTCTAACTCTTTGGTTGGGTGAAATTAGAATCACATCTCCATTCTTGCTAGAATGACATTTCCTCATTTGAGGGAATGGTTATTCCTTGTCTTTTCCTTGGGAATGAAGTCTCATTCCTGTTAATTCTAAATCCTATACACATTCTTATCTGAACCAAACAGATAGACTATGGGAATAGACCATTCCAATTCTGATTCCAAAGGATTTTGATTTTGATTCCAATTCCGATTCCAACTGCAAATCAAATGGACCCTATATACATATATCAAGGTTTTAAAAACAGGACTGGACACAGAACCGTTCTGGGTCAAATGGTCAGGCCTGTTCTGATTTAAAAAATAAAATAAAAAATTATAAAAAATTGGCAAAAAACCATTGTCCTGATTGACAGGTCAATGGTTCAACCGCCCGAGCTAGCGGGTCACTGACCAAATCAACGGTTTTTGGCCCATGAGCAATTTTAGAGTAAAACAGAATTGGTTACCTGACCAGTTCCTGAACCAACCGGTCTGACTGTCCGGTCCAGTTTGATTTTCAAAACCATGATATATATATACAAGTATGTAACTGTATTGATCCGGGTTCAGTGCAATACTAATTAATTCTACCTAAATAAGTTACAATAAAAAATCATAAAGATTAAACTGAAAGCATACCATTTGTAACCTCCAGCTTCAAAATCGCCACACACATATTTTTCGAACGAAGAATTTAAAACTGAGGAGAATGATTTAATCTTAACTGTATAATGTGCTGGTTTTTCCTTCCTAAAAGATCTTTGAATTCCTGAAAATAAATATGGAAAAAGTTTTTTTTACATGTGAGCACATGAAATCAAATGAACTATCGTATTTAGTGCAAGGAACTTACTTTCTTCTTCTCGGGTCATATTTGCTGCTAAAAGTATCCAAAACTTGTTATTTATTAACAGCAGAAGAATGCGAATTTGAGCTTTAAAACATGCATGCACAGTGTTATTGCAGAACGAGTTACGAGAAAAGAACTCTTCGATATGATTTGTTTACGCCTCTTCACTTAACTTAATCCTAATTTATAGCTTAGAATAGATTAAATTCTTCCAACCAAAGCAAAATAAAAAAAGAAGAAGCATAAACAAGAAAAGAATAGAACAAATTAATGTACTTAAACCTCTCTTAGAGGCCATTGCTTGGTGTGATGCTAAATTCTTTACCTAACAAGCGTGAGAATGAATGTGGATACAGCATACAGGGACTGTATATCTTCAACCCCTCCCAAACCCAGGTTATACCAACATAACAGCACCTCTGGTCGCAGCACTTTGTGAACCTCCAAAATGAAATGCAGACAGTTCAGCAATGAAATTAATTAATGGGTAAAATACAAAACCCTCACCTGAGGTTTCTGGATAGGGCTGCAAATGGTATTCGATTAATCAAATTCGTTTTCAAATTCGATCCCATTAAAGGGTGATATGGATTCGATTCATTTATAATTAGACCAAATATGGATCTCACCCTATCCGATCTGATATAATCTAAATTGATTCGATTTAAATATATGTTCATATGTACTTAAAAGTTATATTATATCTATCATTGAAGTTGTATTTTCACTAAATTGTCATAGGTTCAAGTTCTTATTATAATTTATTTTTAATTCATTTTGTTCATAAAATATAATATTAAAGTCATGTTTAGCTCATTTTAGTTATAATGTACTAGCAGGGACCCATGTGAATCATGGGCTTTGTTATTTGAAAACTAAACAACAAAAATTCATAAGAGTATATAATTGTTTTATATTTTAACTTTTTAATAACCAATTCGATCGAACTTGACCCTACTTGGTCAGTGTTCTACTATTTCCAATCGACTTAACTCGACCAAATTAGGTCAGTTTTGGCTTAGCATGTAAATCGATCAAAACTGAACTAACCCGATTGTAGATATATCTTAATGTTTTATATTTTAAATATATTTGTTTTTAATACAGAAAAGTGGGAAATTCCCATGTTTCTTAGTCTACGATATTTTAAATCATAAATTTAATTTTTTAATAATACCACTATAATTTATTAAATTTAAATTTAATTTTTAAGTTTAAATATTTTGAACAAACAAACCAATCTGAAAATATACCCAAGTTGGTGGGTTTTCACTAATGGCCAGTCGGTTTCGGGTGACAAACTCTCGACCAGACCATGTCGATTTGATTTGCGAAATAACCTACAACCAAACTGAACTAATCCTTGAACACTCCTAATTTCAGCTAAGTTAATAGCCTAATGTCTAATAAATAACAATAGTTTGATCTCCAATAATTATTGAAAATTTATATTAAAAAGTGCACAATTATTGAAAATAAATTTATAATCAAAATACAACAATTAAAAATATATAATAAATACTGGAAAAATATTAAAGTAGTTAATAAATAGTGCAAACTCAAATAATAGTTTAATCTCTAATTAATATTAAACAATAAGTTAAAAAATATAATTACTAAAAATAATTTTTTAACAAAATTACAATAAATTAAATTTCAAAAGTTAAATAATAGTTGTTTAATCTACAATAACTATTCACAATTCTCTATTAAATAAAAAATAAAATATATTTATCAAAAAATAAATAAAATAACTATTAATTCTAGTATATATAAATATATATATATATAATGAATGTACACTATTATTGTTTAATACTTTAACTTTTTAATAACCAATCCGATCTAACTCGATCTGAGATGGTCGGTTTTCTAGTATTTCCAATCGGCTTTGGTTTAGTAATTTTCCAACTCGACCAAGTTAGGTTAGTTTTGATTTGTCCATTAGTAAACCGACCAAAACTGAAATGACCAGACCATACATATATTAATATTTTATGTTTTAAATATAATTTTTAATTTAGAAGAGTGAGAAATTACCATATTTCTTAGTCTAAGATATTTTATATCATCAATTTAATTTTTTGATAATACCATTGTAATTTATTAAATTTAAATTTATTTTTTTAAGTTTAAATCTTTTGAACCAACAAACCAAATCAAAAATAGACCCAAACTAATTTAATCCAAGTTGGCATGTTTTCACTAATGGTAAATTATTTCGGGTGACAAACTCCCAACCTAACTATGTCAATTTGGTTGGCGAAACAGCCTACAACCAATTGAACCAATCCTTGAACACACCAAATTTCAATTAAATTAACATTCTAATCTCTAATAAATAACAATTGTTTAATCTCCTATAATTATTGAAATTTTATAGCAAAAATACACAATTATTCAAAATAAATTTATAATAAAAATACAATAGATATATAATAAAAATATAATAAATACTAAAATACATTAAATTAGTTAATAAATAGTGTAATCTCAAATAATTGTTTAATCTCTAATAAATATTAATCAATAAATTATAAAAAATGCATAATTACTAAAACTAAATTTATAACAAAAATACAATAAATTAAAATTCAAAAGTTAAATAATAGTTGTTAAATCTCCAATAATTATTAACAATTTAATGTTAAATAACAAAACACAAATAGATTTATAAATGATTATTGAAAACATATTTATCAAAAATACAATAAATAATTGCAAAAAATAAAATAACTATTAATTTTAGTATATATAAATATATAATTAATGTACACTATTATTTTAAAATTATTATTTATAAATATAATTTTTTTGAACGCTATTTTCTATAATTATTCATTGATATAAGTGAAATTAGTTATTTAAATAATGTTGTTATTTAATTTTTAAAATATTAATTATTTATTGAATTTAATAATCCATAAAATTATAAATAGTAATATTATTACATAATTTGCCATTAATTTTTTTAAATAATTAATTATTATTAATATGAATATTATGGAATCTATTATGATTATTTTCTACTTTTAAGAATTATTTTAAACTGATTACATAATTTTGTTATTTTAACTAGTTAAAATTTAGTCATGTTATATTTTGTTATTTAAATATTTAAATAATATGTAAAATATTTAAATTTTTTCATTATTTGAAGTTTATTTATTTCAATGTAATTATGTAATATGAAATATTTTTCTATATAATTATTTATCTATTTTAATATTTTTTATTTAAGATATTTACTTAGTGAAATATTTAAATAATGTTTTATATTTTAATGTTAAATTTTTATTATTTTTATAAAATTTAAATTGAATAATTCATAAAATTATAATTTATACTGTTACTACATAATTTTATGATTAATTTTGCAAAAACATAGAATTATTAATAAGATGAGTATTATTAAATATTTCATAATTAATTTTTGTGTTTTGAATAAATATTTTAAAGTTAGTATATAATTTCGTTATAATATTTAAATAATTCTGAAATTTTTTAATTGAAAGTTTCTTTAGATTGATGTTGATAAAATGTGGGGGAGAGGATAAATAGGAATTAGAGATAGTTTTGGAGGGAATCTCTCTATTAAATTGGAGATAATTTAAGAGATAAATAGGAATTAGAGATAATTTAGGAGATAAATAGGAATTTGAGAGAATTTTGGAGAAAGTGGGGGAGAGTGGTGAGACTTAGCTAAAAATTAGAAAAAGCAAATCTCTCTTTCTTTATGGTTGTTAGAAATAATTAAACCTACGTTATTTCCTTATTGGTTTAACGGGTAATTATGTGAAATTAAAAAAATGAAAAAAAAAGAGGAAATTAAGATGGAGGATTTAGAGCAGACATGGTGACGCGGACTGTTATTTAATATCCAATTATAATCTGAATTCGATTTAAATCTGATAGATATCAGATGGATATGATCCGATTTGAAATTGAATGTAAGCAAATCAAATTCAGATAGGATTCTATTCTATCCTTTTGCAGCCCTATTTCTAACAATCATAAAAACCTTCCCTGGAGAAAAAAAAAAAAAATTGTAGTTATCTCCCTTCCCTCATTGTCCTACAAAAGTAGTTGGCCTAATGTATTAAATTTTAAAATACACATATTTTACTAAAATACCCCCAGAAGAACTTTTAACTTCTAGCTAAAAAAGGTCCCATGGTCAAATAAAAAAGAGAAATAATTTTACTTTGTAAATTCATGGCTACAGTGAAGTCTAGAAGGGCAAATCTGATATTTTAAATAAAGGCTAGAGTGAAGTCTAGGGACATTTAGTAAATCCCAAGTCTCCGTTTCGGGAACAATGACCGAAAGGAATTACGATGCAAAATATCTTCTAAACTTGAGAATCTGCACTGATGATCACCGGAGAGACAGAGCTTTGGCATAGCTTTAATTTGGTGGTGAAATTTTCATTATGGATGAAGATGAAAAGGGAAATGGATCATTGCCCACCCAACTAGTTATGCTCTGGACTTGCAGTCCGACACCACTAAAATCATTTTAGAGAGTGAGAGTCATTTACATTTATTTAGCTTCCAATAGAAATGTGTAAGTAATATTCAATTCAGACGATTAAAAACCATGCAAGAATATTGAATTTTGGTACAGTTGTACCCAATAATTAATCTGGGAACGACCATTGAAGTGGTAAGTTTTAGGGGCCTCAGATCCAACACGATTGAGCTCTCATCTTGGTGCTGCATGCTGATGAGATTGAGAAAAAAGAATCCTTGGCTGTACAGAGATTGCATCAACACTTGTAAATCTGAAACCCCATAATCTTTTGATAAAGTTCTTGCTGTTACAAGATTGAGGACAACGAAAGGCCTCCATCAATGGGGTATACCCCACCAGTCATGTAACTAGCCGCAGGATGAAGGGCCAAGAACTTCACCAGTCCAGCAACTTCTTCTGGTTGTCCAAATCTCCCCAAGGGGATTGTGTCTAAGATCTTCTTCTTATAATCTTCACTGAGTGTAGCAGTCATGTCAGTTGATATGAAACCAGGAGCAACAGCATTCACAGTAATATTTCTCCTTGCATATTCCTTTGCAGTACTCCTGGTAAATCCTTTAATGGCTGCAGCAGAAGCACTGTAATCAGCTTGCCCAACATTGCCAATCAAACCAACAACAGATGTTATATTAATTATTCTTCCTTTGTTCTTTGTCATCATAATTTCATTTGCTGCCTTTGTGCAGAGGCGCTTACCAAAGAAGTTAACATCAAACACCTGACGCCCCTCTGAATTGTTCATTCTCACCAGCAAACCATCATGAACAATCCCTGCATTATTTATTAGTACGTCGATTGTACCCCATGAATCGACTGCAGCTTTGATCAGTGATCTTACATCTGCTTCCTTTGAAGCATCTGCCTGAAAGGGAAGAGCTTGGCCACCATATGCCTCAATCTCTTCAGAAACTTCTTCACCATTCTTAGAAGACTTCAAATAATTCACAAGGACCTTACAACCAGCTTTACCCATTGTCAATGCAATTGCTCTTCCAATTCCTTTGGAAGCACCGGTAACAACAACTACAGGAGATTCGACATTTTGAGCCACTGTAACACTTGTTTGTTCAACAGATGCATCCTGACTTCCTACTCCAGAGGAAGTAGAAAAACTCCTCCATCTGCACTGGTATGGTTGGAATTGCAATGACCTACTGCTTCAAAAAATTGGAAGGAAATGCCGGGAATGAGTGAATCCCCATCTACAAGGAGTAGTACTGATGAAAGTTCGGACAAACCTCCCAACAGTCATGGCTGAATAAGAGGAAGAAGATCCAGCAAAGGCCACAAATATATAGCTTGATTCAAAACATCAAGGATATCTGAAAAAAAAAAAAAAAGTAAGAACACTCCAAGCAACATAAAATAAGGAAATAAGAAGTATGAAGGAAACAAATACTAGGAAAACATGAATATAGGAAAGAAAGCAGATAGTTTATTTGCGTTGGATTTGGTTAGGTTTAGTTTCTATTATTATTCTTGGAATAATCGTAGTTTTCTTTTTTTTTTTCTCCAATTGCATGCATTTTTTATAATGTTTCCTTATTGAAGGTGTTCCTTTTTGTTCCTACTACAAAGTAAAGCTGAAGGGGAGGGAAAAAGAAGATAGTTTTTTTAACTATGTTGCTAATTATTTCAAACAAATTTGAAATAGATGGAGCCCTGCGACATTCTTCAATGTTAACTCGAGCAGTTGAACCATTTGACTTAAAAACCGATCATCATTTTGGCCCTGTTTATCACCTAGCCCACTATTTTGAAAAAAAATAAAAAAACATTGAATTGGTCAGCGAACCGCTGACCCTAACAATCTAACTACCAAATCCGTTTGACTTGGACAATAGTCCACAGTTTAATCCTAAATTAGTTCTCTATATATGACTGGATCATATCCTAACTATTGATTATAACTGTAGTAATTAGTTTCTAATATATTAAATATTTAATATTAATTAATTAGCTTAAATATATCATTAGCATTGATCATATATGATGAGGGTGGATTTGGCCCTCCAGTGATATCATGACACGTGACATCTCATAACAGCTGGATGACACTCAGACACCACCTAGACGATAACTTGCCTTAGCCAAAGTGAAGGACGGAGTCCGACCTGGCAACCTGCCTCTGCCGACCTGGTGGAAATCTATTTGGCGACCTCATCCACAACTCAGGGCGGCTTGCAACATCTTCTCCAGGGCTGACCTGTGGTACCTCGTCAGTACGGTCGAAGTGACCTCAATGAGTTGCGATCCCTCTCGAGGGCTTGCCGACCTAATTGAGGTCCAAGTGGCGACCTGCGAGACGTGCTCGCCAACCAACTCTGCATGCATATCCCGTCACTCCCGGGTTTCTCGGAAGTTGGCCCCTGCACCAAATGTTTCGGAGGAAACTAAACAAGGTGCAAAGACTAGTCTATGTGCATGGCTACCTCTGAGGACTTTGGGTCGATTAGGCACGACCTCTCAAAGATCTCGGATGCGATGCATGAAGCCCACGCCAAACAACGCCTATATATAGGCCTCACCTCCAACTTCACAGGGAGAAAGGTACACACAATCATACATTCTCAAGCTCTCTCAATATCCCAAAGAACTTTCAAATACTTACTAACTTAAGCATCGGAGTGTCCTCCGCAGGTAAAAGACGCTCGGGCACCCTAACTCTCTTCTTCTCGCAGCACATATCAGCTCGGCCTAGCGTAGCTTGGCCCTGATCAGGAAATATCCAAATCAAAGTCCAAGTCATGAGACACAAGGGAGCAGCCAGATCGTGTGGCATCAATTGGCACCATCTGTGAGAAACGCAACAAAAAGCTAAGTTCTCACCTTCTAGTTTGCTAAGTTCTCATCATTTAGTTTTCACCTTTATCAACCCAATGACATTTTTGAGTAGCACCAACATCAAGAACAAAGTATCAGTTACTGGGGGCAAGAGCATCCGTGATGAACCTTGAGAACCCCTATGTGACAATCAAGTAAGTTCAGTGCCCCTAGCACATCTCGGAGTAGAAACTGTGATGTACCCAACACTCCCATCACCCTAGACAAATACACTGCTACCTCATGTGGACACCCCTCTCCCCGTAGTAGAGTTGTCAGTGGTTCCCATTGGGATTGAAACGTGGCAGTTTTATGAGCTGAAGCATGAACCTTTAGATGTGGACATGGGAGGAGAAGTTCAGTGCATTCATGTCACCGTAGGATAATCAACAGTAGAACAATCTCAACAACCAGCAGTTCGGCAACAGGCACCTCATAGTAAGGCCGCCCCCGCAGGTCGAGCCCTTTGTGGTTCCCGCGAGAGTTGACGGCTAACAGACTGAGCAGCTCTACCGACCTCAATTCAGCCCGAACGAACCTCGCCAGCTCTGTTCACAATGTCACCTCTACAGGTCGATCCCTTCGTAGCTCCCGTGGGAGTCGGCAACCAACGGATTGTGTGGTCACCCTTGCAAGTCGAGCCTTCCAAGGCTCTCGTGCGAGTCAGCGACTTACGATTAGTAGAGCTGCCCCTACAAGTCGAGCTCCCTATGGCTTCTCGTAGGAGTAGACGACTAGCATCACCAAGGGGCTGATGTAGTGTAGCCGTGGCACCGACCTACCACCCAACGCCAACAGCAACATACGTATAAACAGAGCCATCACAAGGGGGTGGGGGGGCAAAATATGAACAACTAGTCTAGGTGAGCTTCAGGGATCTGGCCCAAATTGCCTCCTAGCCCAAACTGCGAAGCCTCACTACTGATCGAACTTTGTATGGATCCCCTAAGAGTCGGAAGCGAATTGAATGTGGAACCGGCCTCATAGGTCAAGCCCTTCATGGTTCCCGTGAGAGTAGGCGACCCGCAGATAGTAGAGCCACCCCCTCGAGGTAAGCCTCCCATAGCTCCAATAGGAGAGGGCGGCTAGCAGTTCCAGGATCAAGTACAATACATGTACGTCATGGTCTAGCAAGCACCTATCCGGGGAAGCCAATCCCACACGATGGCTTGGAAGCAGTCACATTTAAAGCTACTATGGAATGGCCATCTGCTTTGGCGACCTGGTCAAATTGAGTTCTAAGGGAAATCCATACCGCTTTCTAGCTAAGGCGCCCTCAAGCCAACTTTGAAAACACAACAACAACAAGTAGACCAATCTAAGCAAATCGCCCCCCTGTTTATCTAGCTCGGCAACACGTGTAAATTGATTTAAAAGGACGTTGGTGTCTCACCTCCAACTTAAAAAAAAAAAAAAAAAACAGAGAGAAAAAAAGAAACGAAGGAAGGGAAGACTAGCTCGCTTTCAGCATAAGAAAAAGAAACAAAGGAAGGGAAGGCTAGTTTGCTTTTAGCACCGTGGCAGACATGCAAACTTGGCCGATCTCTTCACAACCGACCTCCACCTTGGTTTCAGGCTCCACATCGACCTCATCAGCTACTCTTTTGAGAATAGGCTCGAGGGACATTGTGTTGTAGTCTACCTGAGTGTAGTGATCTGACGAGGCGGTCATACAGTTAAAAGCCCCTCTTGAGGACGCCATGACAAACTTCGCACTTGAAGTATTGAGCTGAATTGCAAAACTCCTTGGAGTGCTTGCTTCGCCTCTCCTCGAGCAGATGAATTCGCTCTTGCGCCTCAAGAATCAAGACGATGATGTCCTGCGTAAGGCTGCATCCAACACTTAGACTCTTTCAACCTGAGGAGCAAACTGGACCAATGCCTATGACTACGAGCTCATCAAATTAGTCACTCCAGACCAAAGAAACAAGCTACTCCCTTCCCTAAGCTTATCTCAACTCGGGAGTGGGGGGCAATTGATGAGGGCGGATTTGGCCGTCCAGTGACACCATGACACGTGGCATCTCAAAACAGCTAGATGACACCTCGACACCACCTAGGCGATGACTTTCCTTAGCCAAAGTGATGGAGTCCGACCTAGCGACCTGGCTCTGCCGACCTGGTGGAAATCTAGCTGGTGACCTTATCTACAACTCAGGGCAGCTTGCAACACCTCATCTAGGGCCGACCTGTGGTACCTCATCAATATGGTCGAAGTGACCTCGATGAGGAGCAACCCCCCTCAAGGGCTTGCCGACCTGATTGAGGTCCAGGTGGCGACCTGCGAGACGTGCTCACCGAGCAATTCTACATGCATATCCTGTCAGTCCGAGGTTTCTCCAAAGTTGGCCCCCTCACTGAATGTTCTGGAGGAAACTGAACAAAGTGCAAAGATCGGTCTACGTGCACTGCTACCTCCGAGGACTTCGGCCCAGATAGGCACGACCTCTCAGAGATCTCAGACGCGATGCGTGAAGCCCACACCAAACAACGCCTATATATAGGCCTCACCTCCAACCTCACAGGGAGGAAGGTACGCACAATAATACATTCTCAAGCTCTCTCAATATCCCAAAGAACTTCCGAATACTTACTAACTTAAGCATTGGAGTGTCCTTCCCGAGTAAAAGACACCCGGGCACTCTAACTCTCTTCTTCTCGTAGCACATATCAACTCGGCCACCTTTCAGCTCAGCCTAGCGCAGCTCGGCCCTGATTAGGAAATATCCAAATCAGAGTCCAAGTCATCAGACAGGAGGGAGCAGCCAGGTAGCATGACATCAATATATTTTTAACTTCTATTTTTTATTAATTATATTTAAAATATTAATTAATACAATATAACGTTATAAAAGTAACTAACAATTATAATTGATTATTTCTTCTTTATTAATTAACTTTAAATTTTAGTTTTACTAATTTAATTATTAGTTAGTGTTAGATATCATGTAATTTACTTTAACTTATTTATAATAATTAAATTGATTTTAAATTTACCCAAAGTTATAAATAATTATTATTATTATTTTCACTAAATACTAATATTATTATAACATTTATATTAATCATATTTGTTTTGTATTGAATTAATTAGTATAAAATATAATCTAATATTAGTACAGGGTCCAGTTTGGCCGTTTGTTTCAGATCCATTTCAATCAGATATAGATCAATTATGGGTTTAGTTGGGGTTAGGAATGAGCCGGGAAATGTTAAGTGGTTTAAGCTTGCCTTAATTTATGGGCTTAGGCCAACCCGACCCATCAACCTGGCTTACTGGGGCAAAAACAGGACAATAAAAACCTTAATTGAGCTATCTTCCTTGCCCGAATAGGG